TATCCGCCTTCTATTGAGTGCAATTGGAAAATACAAGTTGATTTTGGAAACAATATTGAAATTACTTTTCACAAACTAGATATTGAAAAAACATCCATTTGTCATTTGGACTACATAATATTGTACAATGGTGAAGATGAAACATATCCTGAGATTGCAACGCTTTGCCATCAGAATAAACCAATCACATTAAGAAGTTCCGGGAGTTTTATGTTTGTCAAATTTAAGGCAGATTCTTCGGTTCAGGGATTGGGATTTTATGCAAATTATACAAGTACACCCACTAGTAAGTAAATCATTTCTTATTCTTCACTTTGTGATTAAATATCCCCTTTATAATTATTCTTAATTATAATTTTTACTGGGTATTATAAAATGTTTCAGCTGTCTCAGAAGTAATCAAAATTACAGACCAAGGTGGTTTAAAAGATGTTTGTAAAAGATAGCTTCACTAGGTAATATACCGAATGCAGTCGAAATAAGTGCACAAAAAAAGAACTAAAATTCTGCATTTGAAAATTTCAAAAATTTAAATTTTGAAAATTGTACTTTGAAGATAAACGACAATTAAAATTTTCGTCTTTTATAGTTTTCATACTAAGTACTCCTAAATATTTCTTCTTTGTTGAGTAGGTACGTTAACAACTTTCTGTAGTGCCTTAACCCTCAACAGCCTAGTATATTTTTTTTCTTTTTAATGTTGGTGACATTACCGTTGGAAGTAATTTCTTTCAATAAACTTACCAATTTCTCAAATTTTCAGTGGCGAACACACTGACAAAATCTTGAGAATATATTTCCACATTTCGCACAATTACAAATGACAATGACAGTTGGAATCGAATTTTTCAACGCCTTTATGAATAACACTGCTTTATGTCACCAACCGATGCGACGCAAATTTCCCTAACTTTTAAAACTTTTCCTAAAAAAACCGCATAAAAAGTCAAAAATAGAAAAAATAGTATAAAGCACTTGTTACAGAAGACTATTCAAGCATCAATATACTATTGATTCATTATTATGTGAAAACAATCTCTTTTTGTTCATTCTTAATACTGAAATGTTGTAACAATATTAAAGTTCATCAACCACTGAAACAACTTTAACATTTTTCACAAAAATAATCAGAATGGTGTACGAACTTGTTTTATGTTGATTTATATTAATGTTTCATAAAGTAGACCAACAGTATAGTCTGTTAAAATGTTTTCATGACAAAAGTTTTGACTTAAATCATCAAATAATAATAATTATTACTGTCAAATCTCCCATAAGCGGACACCGACCGTGACATACTGTTTGTTCGGTTAATGGAGGTGTCCTCTTAAAAGAAATAAGTGTAGATAAACAGAAAATAAAATAAAAAGTATTAAAAAGATAATAATATAGTATTTGATAAAATAATAGGAATTATCAACTACTTTTTGACGAAAAAAAAAGTGGTAGTTTCTTGAAACGAGCAAATCTATAATTAAAACTTTATTATTCTGACTCAGTGCAAAGAAAAGTTCATTTTTCTCTTAATTTTGGACTTATTTTTTGGAATTATTTTTCTCAGAGTTTTAAATCCCATCACATTGGCGATTTTGCTTTTTTGATAACGATGTGACTTTGACAAATGAGTTTATGCAAGTTAAATAACAAAAATGTTTATGAAAAACATAATTTTAATAAATGGTAATTCTAAAAAACAGCTACAAAGTCATTTTTAACAAGAACAATTATTATTCAATTAATTAATTATTTTTCAAAGTGACATCGTTGTCAAAAAAATAAAATCACCAATGTAATGAAATTTTAAAAGCAGAGAAAAATTATTTATAAATCTAAGAATCAGAATTATAAAGTTTTAATTATAGATTTGCTCATTTCAGGTTAAGCAAAAAATGTAATTCCTTTGAAGTTTTAGCTTAAAATTAAAGATAACTATTTTTTTCTTCTTGTAAACTCAATCCAGGGACATATTGTATAATATTCTTTATTGACAAAGATAGGCAGAATTTCACCACTGTTGAGGTGTGAATCCCCGAGGAGAGTGATTTCCCAAATTTTCTGACGGTTGGTCATAAAAATTACATGACATGCTGTCCGCTTAAAGGATTTTGTTTTCAACGTTCCGAATTCGGTGTCTACGTCCGTTTATGAGAGAGTCCGTTTAATAGAGAGACATTTCACTGTATTAAATTAAATAAAAATAAAAATGTACTTTCCTACTTTTTCAAGGAATACTTGAAACTACTAAGGTACTAAGCATATTTTTTAGGTCTAGGTAAATCGGCAATACTTGTATTTTAATATTTTTTTCTTTGAGGACTCATAAAGATTCTTCATGTAAATATTAGTAAAAATACAGATTTGAAACCGAAAATTAGAAAAAAATTATTATAATTTAATTTAATTTACCGTTTCTCTGACACACTACTTATTATTTACAAACATAACAAAAATGTGCCTTAAAAAGTTTATTTTTAAACGTTTAAAACTAAAGTAAAGGAAATCTAAGAAATTAAACCGAAATGTCTTCTGAGTGTAACAAAGACAGTTTATTTTTACTTTATATAAGAAAATTTAAAATATGTATGATATATTTT